TGATGATGATGATGATGTGTATCCTTTAGCTGAAGGAAATTTATGCAATAAGCATGGGAACACTCTGAAACCAGCAACAGTTCAATATTACAATGCACATGTGGGAAGGTGGACGACGAAACCTAACAACAAAGTTACTCAGTCAGCAAGCAAACCTAGAAAGGGACTAAAAGGCCTTTCTTCACCTGCTTGATGTGGCATCCTGAATAGCTGGATCCTGCTTAATTCCTGTGGTTGTTAAATCTCAGACTTTTCTTTATCAGGGACTTCCAGAAAAGGGTGCCTCATCTCCAGGCCTAATTAGACCCCTTTAACCAGTCAACCATGCACCAGGAAACAAAAGCGTCAAGTGCATTCCACACAGAACAAGGAGTGTAGAATTAAATATTAGCATTTGAAGTGCATTAAGCCCCATTTCAGACTATCACACAATGTCTCATTTCTGGGGGTTCACAGCTCTTCACTATAGAAAACAGGTCATACCACCGTTAGTAATATAATAATCTACCTATAGGTGGGTCCCTTGTGACCATGGCATGGTGCGTCCTCAGGTTGCGGATGGAGGAGACGCCCTCCAGGTTTGAAAGTAAGCTGCGAATATATTGAATATGCAGTCACGGAGAGCTGATAAGGGGTGGTCCTCCAGTTTTGGGGTTGGGCATGGAGCTAACAACTCACCGTTAAAAATAATGATGTTACGAAAATGAACATAAAGCCTCAGACCTGGACAGATTCCTTGGATAAACGACCTAAGCTAAAGAAAATGAACATGACATTTGGTATGTGGAATGTCAGAAGTATGTATAGGGCAGGTGCACTCAGGGCAGTGGCAGAAGTAATCTTAAAATATAAGTTAGATTTAGTGGGAGTAGAGGAGGTCAGATGGGAAGAAGGTGGCATTGTGCCAGCAGGCAAATATACATGGTGTGTCCAGGATCCGTCACGGTTAATTTTTTTTTTTAAACTTTGCCCTGCAATGCCATCTGTTGGCAAGTTGTGGCATTAAGATG